GCTACTGACATCTGCAGCGCTGGGTCTGGAGACAAGAATGCTTTTTATTAAAGGTTGTGTCAACATTAGGCCCTGATCCAAAGCCTGCTGAAGTCAACGGAAAGACGTTGCACGTGGTAGGCAGGAGGTCAGACCCGAGAATTACAGCGGTCCCCTTTTGGCTTTACAGTCTATGCACCAGGCTCTTGCAGAGAAAAACTCGGCAAGTTCAGGCAGAGGCCAACACATGGGCCAAGGTTTTCCAACCTCTCGCTGCTCTCCGGGAAAGGTTTCACGTGCTGATTTTTTGGGCCAGAGCCATGCGAGCTTTGCCAGGTTCTCATGGTTCTCCCCCGCTCGCCGACAAGCCAAATAAAATGTGGAGGTCTTGGCTCCTGCTTCGCTTTGAGTTTCTCGGGGTCATTCACCTGAATGTCAGCGTGGAAATCAGACGGGGAGAAATCAGGTGAAGCCGAACTGGAAAACGATCCGTGCCAGCAAACAGACATCGCTAGCACAGCACGGCCCGAGGCGAGCAGGAGGCCGAACCGACTGGTGCGGACAAGAGCTGAACAAAGTCGGAGCAAAGACCTATTATTAGCAATGGGCGGCAGATTGGGTTTCTCCTTGTTTTAGTTTGAATGGTTGCCTTTGCTCTCATTATTATTTGCAGAGGATAGGTATTATTTGCAATCCTCAGGGGTGTGAAGCAAGGGACCATAATGTAGGTACTTTAATATCCAGCGAGGGAATTGCACAGCGGCCTGATTCTGGTCTCTTTTGCATTTGTTTCAACTTGCCTACCAGAATTTGCTTTGGTAGATATCCTCAGCCTCCCTGGTTTTGATTCTGGGCCACCTATGATGGGCTGATTGTTTCAATGCAGTATTTTTATTGCATCTGCTGTCAAACACTTCTGGCAGTTCAAGCACGATCCTAAAGCTTGGCATCTCACAGAAACCACCGTCACAGCCCCAAATCTCATCTGATGAAATCAATGCAATGCAGAATTATTTATAAGCCCGGCTTAATTGAAACAAGGGCTTGTTTACTGCCCGTTCCTGAGGAGAGACGGCAGAGAGTTTGCCTAATAGACCTGCCCTTTCAAAAGCCAGGGACTGATCTGACACAGCGGTCCTTCACGTTTCGATGGGGCAAAGCCAGTGAAGCCCACGTGAAACCGAAATGAAAGCAAGGCGCCGCGCTCTCTTTCCAATGTTCTGGCGTCGTATGAAAGCTGCAAAATCGGCCTCCGGACATTTAAACTCAAGTCCAGCTCAGAATAACAGTGCCATGAGCAGCTAACCTCTAAAATGTCTAGGCCAACCGAGGGATCTAGCCCTCTCTTAAGAGAACAGACGGCATGTCTACATGTGCTTTTACACCTGTCTGAACTTAAAGTGGATTTACCTAATGCGCATTAAGGCAATTTAGGCACACGTCTAGATGTGTGTGCACCAAGGAGCATTAACATGGTGTGCTAAATTAGCCCCAAGTCAGGTGACATGCACAGCATTAATGCACCATAGCACATCTACACGTGCATTAAGGCGCTTTAGCTGTTTGCTAATTTTGCAGGTATCAAATTTAGGTGTGAACAGCTTAAAATCACCATTTTTAAGGTGCATTAAGGGTGCGCGCGTGTAGACCTGCACCCTTAATGCATCTTAAAAAATGGGTAATGTGCCTTAATTGCCATTTGTAGACATGCCCAGAGAGTAACAATATTCAGCAGCATTTCTGAAACAAGGAGACTCCATGGAAATGATGGGCTCTCACTAGATTGACTGTAGAGCTAGTTCATTTGGGATGAGGGGCCAAAAGCAATGCGTTACCGCCGTTCGGGAGGAAGGCAATGTCTACACCAGTAACTTGTGTCAATCCTTAAGGTCACCATCAAGTCCAGCCTTGTCAACACCTACCCTGAAAGCCCTTCTGCACCCCAATGGCAGTCCAGCGTAGTCTAGGATGATCTACAAAACCGCAGGGTAGGAGGCTGGCTTCGCTCTTGCAGCACGCTGGGGACTTATTGGGAATGGAGACCTCAAGCAGAAGGCGGCCACCAGTGACAACCACACAATTTGCTGTTCCCATTTCCTGTCTCTACTGCTGGTAATTAAAGCCAAGGAGAGATGGGCGATTCATAGGTTTCTAGAAGAGCAACACTTGTGGGATGAGAAACAACCAGGAGAGCTTTAGTGATAAGGTCGGCTATAGGTGGGGAAGGGCAGCACATGTCTGGTGGAGGCTAACTCTAACTAGCCCTCTCATACTTTCATCTCTAGGTCACTGGTTCAGACCTAACAAGAGGGGTAACTTTTAGGAGTTACTGGAGTATAAAAGATGCTCAGGAGAAACGGAGGCAGAGGTCTTGCTCATAGTGTCAATGGGCAGGTATCTTCATCCCATATAGTCCTGGCTGACTTTCTGGCACATCTTATGGAGAAGTCAAGGATCGAACATATCAAGCAGGCTAAAGTTCCCTCCCAGACTTTTTAGGCAATTGGATAAAGACCAGAAGCGATCTCCAAACTCCTTTTCTCCTGGGAACGAAGCCACACCCCAAGCCAGGTTGATGCACTTCCCAGTAGGATTTTAGGAATCCACGTGCATGCGCTGGGCTTCCTTCTCCCGTGTCCGATGACCCAGACTTACATCCGCTCGGCTGTGATTTCTGTTTTCGTGGAAAGCTCAGAACAGGGCTGAACACTTCAATTGGTTTGGAGGGAGGTTAGAAAACGGCTCAGGTGGAGCCGTGATAGGACAACAAGCTGCAAGAGGCAGCGGGGTTTCCAGTCTGGAAACGGGAACCTCCTCCAGGCCAACACTACGGGCTGTCCGCTAGATTCAACCTTGCACTGCCACAACCAAAACACACAAAACCTGACTTGCACCGCATCTCCTAGAACTGGACGTGAGCTTTCCTTTTCCTTATGTAATGTATGAACCACCATGTTTTCCAGACAAATCCAGGCAGCCTGGGCCAGTCACGCTGGAAATGTATTTATAGGGCCTTTTGCAAATGCATATCCTTGACAATTTAATACATTTCGTCTTTGAAGATACCCTAGAGAAACCAGATGTGAAATCTACTGTGGTTGGAGAGTTGTGCTGGATGCTTTACAAGCTCTGGAGCTGGAAGGGGCTTTGCATGCCTCTCCCGCTTGCCCTGAAGCATGCAGAAACCCTTTTGCAACAACAACAACATTCAAAAAATCAAATAGCAACACAGGGCAGGAGCAAACTTCACTCAAGACTATCTGTTCTCCAAGAAGCACCACCGGAGCTGATGCAGTCTCTAGCATAGCAGTAACAGTGCTGATATGGTGAAGACCAAAGCCAACCTGCCCTTTTCTCTAATGGCCCAAACACCCTTGCCATGCCAGCTCTTGCTCTCTTTGCACACTTTCCCTTCTTAGCACAAACTTTCCCTGACCTGAAAGGGGAGCTTAGTCCCACTCAGAGACAGACCGACACTTTTACTCATGTTCAGTAGTGTTGGCTGATGCCCTTGACTCATTCTTGGAGTAAGGTCTTATTGCATATGGGTAAAATAGATCAGAAACGAGAGCTGGTTAAAACAGCAAAGATGCTGTTTTCAACGAGGACTTTTCAACGTCTGGAAATGTCAGCCGCTGCCAGGTTTTAAAGTCCCAGCCATCTCTGCAGGTGGTCGGAAAACCGGGGAAGAGTTTCTAGGGGGAAAAAAATCAAAATGTACCCCCCTCCCCACTCTGTTAGCTCAAAACAGTTGCCACCATGCTTAATTTCTAAACATTTGGGTCAATTCTCTCAACCACCAGCCCTAAATCGGGACTTTTTTGAGGGCTTCGAGATTTGGTTATAAAACCTTGAACTGGGCAGGAAGATGGGAAGGGACAAGCTGAAGGATGGTGGGGAAAAAGAAGTCAACTCTTGGGACTAGAACTGAAGTCAGTTTATGTAGGGTACAAAAATCACCCGCATGCGTAGAGTGCACCCAGACAGAGCAGAAATGCCAGGAGGTTTCTCCACAAAGGATGTGCATTTAGCCACCTCAAGAAATGCACCAAAGGGGAGGATGAAAATCTCTGTGTATGGCCAGAGAAGAGGTAGATTAAACAGGGAAGAGGTCCGGAGGGTGAACAGATTGCCTAGCTCTTGAGGAGAAGGAAAAGGAGCAGGTGGGAGCAGACGTGCAAAGCTTTAGGAGACGTCATGGAGGAGGCATAAGGCAGGAGAGAAGACTGTCTCAGACACCCATGAGACAAGTGCCCCCCGTGACACTCTTACCCATCCCTAGAACTGAACTCGGCAATTTTTGGCTGTGGTTTTGACGCCATCTTCCCCTCTTGACATCCAATATCTGAGCCAGAGGTGCTGGCATAGCCTAGGAAGCATTTTCCTCCAGTGTTGGTGCCAGAAGATTCAGAACCAGACTCTTTCACCAAATGACCGCTGCAATTTTTGTGGACGCAAGGGGTCCAAATCCCAATTCTCCCTGCAGTCATGCCCCAGGGATGAATTTGGCCCATAGGTTGAACACTGCGTGCATGTCTGCCGCCAATCCCAACTTCAAAATCTGGAGGCTCCTTTCACTTTGCAAGGTGCTAGGGGTCAGATCCAAACTCTTGTGAAGCCAATGGCAGGCTTTCCACTGACTTTGTTGGTTATTGGACCGGGCCCTGTACACTCAACCATCTGTTCTCTGCAACTCTTAGCACAGACAGGATATGAATAGGATTCAACAAAAATACAGTATGACTTGCCGTAAAACCAGACAAATTCCACTTTTTTTATGTTCTTAATTCTTACATGCAATTCTGTTCATGCATATAAACACTCAAAGGGGAAAAAAAATTACTTACCATTACATACAATTTGTACTTGCAGTGTTCAAGAATAGATTTATTTCCCCCCCCCCCCCTCCCCTTCTTTTTTTTTT